ATCCTGTTTTGCATATGAAACATGACGATCTTGTCTGGGAACCTTTTCTTTTGCTCGTGCAACCATCAATGCTGAGAGCCGCTCGGATCTGTGAAATCTCATATGACAATCCAAGATCTTTGGAATCCCACATGAAAAGCTAGGATCTTGGGGGTCGCATGAGAAGTTGAGATGTTGAGGTCTCATATGAGAAGCTATCATTTACGGAATCTCACAAGACAAGCAAAGATCCTCATGTTTCATATGCAAAACAGGATGTTCAGGGCTTGCGTGAACTGCTCTGATTTTCGGATTCTCGTATGACAAACCAAGATCCCACATGAGAAGCTAGGATCTTGGGGGTCGTGTGAGAAGCTACGATCTTTGGGTTCACGTGACAAGCTACTTGTCACACGCCGGCCTATTTGCGCAACACTCGACCGGAGCGTCTCCGCAAAGTCTTCACATCCAGTGTGTTTGACTCCCCACCGCCCTGAGACCTCAACTCCCGCGTCATTGCCATTCCAGCAATGACATGTGTTCCCTGTTGCCTAGCAAGTATCGCTCTCCCGGCGTGCGTTGTCAGGAAAAATCAAGTGTACAAATCCCTTACATTATAGTAGATTCTAGTAACTTGTAGATTATAATTGATTATATTCAAAATTCTAGTAGACTAAAGTAGATTATAGTAGGTTATAGTACACGTTAATTCCTTTTAGTCGGTTTCAGTACGTAGCAGTAGATCATAGAAGATTCTCGTGGATTATACTAAGTTAGCGTAGATTATAGTAGACTATAATAGAAAATAATGGTTTACATCAGAGAACAGTAGGTGACGATAATTCATAGTAGATCAGAGTAGATTATATAGTAGGTTATAGTTGCATTGACTTCCCTGTATCGTAGAAGATGCCATGTTACATGCATGTGGCCAAGAGATAACAACCATGACGCCATTTCGGGATGAGTGAAAAGTTGAGGGGTTTCCATGCAGCCCCACATGTGGGCTGCAATCAGAGACTTGGTCCATGATCATTATTCACGTGTTCGGCTTTCAATCAGAGCTGGCGTGTGCGGCCATATAAAGTCTTCTATCCAAATTTGCTGAAGCAGTCGAGATCTCATTCTGAGTCTTAAGACCCTGAGAAAGAAGAAAGAGAGGTCCTCCATTTCCACACATTTCAACACTGCCGCTTTTATCTCATAAAAGGCAAGCAGAGGCTAGTATTCTGCCAGGCAGCTTTGGCGGGCTGGGGGCCGGGTTTAGGCTAACGGCTCATGTGAGATAGATGTGGACTTCTCACTCCTTTTATTTGGGCAGATCCCTGCCACTCCAATTCAGCACTCCAGATATCTCCAGCTTGGGGAGGAGATGATGATTGTCCGGGATGAATCTGGAGTTCCCGAGGCCAGGCCTGGCCGTGGATAGCCAAGGAGCCAAGCTATGCCAGCATGTGGCATAATCCCGCGTATCTCGGTGCCAAAACTCGGTGAAAACCAAGCAGTCATGGAGTCACCTTCTCTTAAACAAATTACCAGATGCGGAATTGGATGTTTTCCAACGTGCACTGTCACTGGGATGGTTTGCGTGAGCAGTTTGCAGGTGCTGGTAAAGGAGCTTGCTGCCGTCACTCCGGCTCCAGCTCCAGCCGTCGTGGAGGCCTTGCAATGCTTTGCAGTTTCTCGATTAACAAATTTTGGATCCTCAACTGAAGGCTGCCAACTCCACAATGTCGTCCATGGAAAGCGAGAGCGACGAAGGCCTGGGGCGAGAACAGATTTTTCGAACGCTCTCGCAGCTACAGAGTAGCCAAAGACATATTTCGTTGAATAGCATGATTGCATTCCATAAGCCTTGACCGAGACCGAGCCCTGCTTGACGCCGCCGAGTCCGAGGTTGGGACTGCAGGGAAAGAAGGGATTGTTGCAGAAGCTGATGCGCAATGGAGCAAGCAATGGCCTCATAGCAAACCACTCGCACAGGCCTCCTGAGCTGTCAGTGTCTTGGCGGGCAGTAACGGGTAGAAGAGCATGGTGAGATTACTTCGTTACATCGCTCTTCTGTGAAGTCAAGAGCCTGATGCCTTGGAGTTGGTTTCACCTGCTGCGTCCTTTCATGCGACAATTCGATGAATGCTTCAATTGGACTTGTAGTTCAAGCACAGGAGGTTGCAAGCAAGATAAAGCTGCACGCATGAATCAACACAGCAGCTGTAGGCAGGCCACTGTGGCAACGAAAGTGTCAAGTGGCAATTTTCAAAGTGTGCAGAAGGCCTGCTGTATCTCACGATGTGCTGAACAGTTTTCCGCAGCCTCGGCAGCGACAATGGAAGAATGGGTCCCAAATCGACTGCCTTTGTTGGCTAGTTTTGGACCTGTGTGTGCGAGTGCAGGATGGACACTCCAGTGATCGCTGCGCATTGGTGCTGCTTGCGACTCTTCCACCTGGAATTCTGGCTCGAGAGGATAAAGATCGGATGCGCCCCAGCCAAAATAAACTCTTTACACTTTTGTATCAGCATGCAACGCTCCTGCGCATAAGAGGCGTGCAATTAGCTGATGTCTGAGCCCCACTGATTGGGAACCAATGCACAAGCAGTATGAATTGCAGGCACCTACCCTCGAGATCGGGTGATCTACAGTTTTCAGTTTTTAGCGCTTTGTTAGCCAGACGACAGCAAGACAGCCACGGCAGCAAACGGTGCATGACGAGCACTTCCCATAGTTTCCCAGCTGGTGCTGCACAATGGGGGTTGGGACCTGAGCGAATTCGCTTGTGGTTGGGGGCTGGTATTGGCAACCTAGGGGACACTTCAGTAGCTGAGTCTAAACTGTTAGCCTCAGTGCAGACCTTTTTTTTGATCGCAGCATTCCTGCATCAACAAACATGCGAATTGAGGTTTTGGGGAGTTTCACAGGCTGCTACCGAAACCATACACAACCAGAACTAAAAGGATTTCACGCGGAGCCGCTTTGAGGTTCCAATGCTACGGCCGACCACACCGGGCAGCCCCGGCTCTCCGAACATCCTGGTCACCCGGCAAGGTTGAATGATCTCAGCTAAGATGTGGACTTGGTCACGGCCGTAGTGCATATGCTAGTATTCGTATTGAAGAAAATGGTGGAGGCTTCACTTGGCACAAAGGTATTTCGCGGAGGGAGGGGGCTTGCGGGGAAATGGATACTTCCAAAGCTGGATTTGTCATGTCGACTGCAGCAGCAGGAGCCTTAGCAGCGACAGCGGCGGCGGCGGCGGCGGCGGCGGTGGTGGTGGTGGTGGTGGCAGCAGTGGCAGCGGCAGCGGCGATGCGGCAGCGGTGGTGGCGGCGGTGGCTGTGTCGGTAAACGTGGCGGCGGTGGCGAGCGGTG